TTAAAAATAACTACCATTGTTTTTATTTGACGTTTGTTAATGAATGATAATTTAATAAAAAGCAATAATATTTCATTAATAATATAAGTGTATTTTCTATTGATGGAAAATAATGGTTATAATTAATTTAATGTAAAATTTGTTCAGTTAATTGCCTTGTAATGTTAGTCTAAGCTGACGTTAGCATCAAGGTCTAATTTCAATGTTTGAAGGTCGTTTTACCGACACGAAAGTGTAACGATGAAGGAATATTGGAGCCCATTAACTTTCAATTTGTCAAACTCAACAAATTGCCAATACCGACACGATTAGCGGGCAAGATCGAGCGAAAAATAAATGTAGGAAGAGTAATAGCCAAGCCAAATATGTCATTGTGTAATCGTACGAGATAAAAGCCATGTCGCTACGCCTGATCGACTTTAGAACAAGTGTCAAAATATGATCATGGATATGTCTTAAAAACAGTCTTCGTCTTGTCGCTAAGGACCGGGATTTCAACTGGAAAAAATGAAAAAAATGCTTTGAGAAAATGATTGCGACAGAAGTTTAAGCCAGCGGAGGATGAGATAGGAAGTCTCACCCGGTGTCCAAAACTTAAATCTAATTTAACGCCAGCGAGTTGCCTCGGCTTTATTTATAAATCATTCCCCCGCTATGATTAATGCCGGCCAAAACCGATTCTTCCTTCCGCTCATAAATTCAACAGCGCAGCAGGAAGGCAATGTGCGACACCGGTCAGCAGAAAACACGCTTCTTATCTCCTTTTCCTAGGAGGTTTACTCGCCAAGATGATGAACTTCACTTCAACTCTCAAACATTTTCATTATATAAAACAACAAGCGGTAACACTAAAGCGTCGTTAAACATCTGGATTATGTTCAAAAAACCCACTTTTTAAATACATTCAAGTAAATGTCAATAACAGTTCAAGTAAAATATGCACCAATACTAGTATTTTTATCAAACAATTTTCACCGTTTTTTATTAAAAAATTAACAATAAAGAAAACATTGCTTTATTTATTTATTTTTTACGGGGGTATTTCACCTATGAGGCTATATGAACCCTCGGAGGTTTTGGAAAAAAGCCTAGTTGTAAATATATCTGGTTCCAATTGCAGGGCTGCTGGATTCGAACCCGGGACCTTTACCTTTCCGTGATGCTTGCCGTGTAAACGCCCGGTTCACACGGTGGCGATCCGTATGAGCAATGCTAATACGTTAACGGTATTAGATACAAAAACTATCCGAATAGATTCAGTCACCTCCCTCCATTTCTTCTTGATCCTCTCCCATGCGGTTTAAAAACCTAGATGTTTGAATCTGTCATATTTTTATAATGGACGAGTTAGAAGCTGTAGCTCATTGGCAATTAATTAGACGAAAAACAAGTAAAAATAGAGTAATGTGGGTTCACCCACATTTCGCCATGCCTTTTATTTTTTTATTCTTTATCCGCATAATCGTCACTGTTGTTCCAAAGCGTGGGATATGTTTGAACAAATGAAATTCGTTTGTCGTTAGCAAAAATGTCACTTCTACTCAACTTGTGTTAATTGATCTTATTACCACTCAATACAAACACAATTTAAAAGAATATTTAAATGTTAATTTAATTTATTTTACAATAAAAAGCACGTTTGCGTTTTTAGAAACCTGATTGTTAATAGTATTTTATAAATGGTATTTTAATTATTTTCCAATGTAGTAGGTATTCATGATTTAGCAAATGTATTTTAAACATTAGTTAAACAATTATTGGATTTTGTACTGATATTACATAAAAGTAGGAAGGTAAGATTGTTTTAGAAATTGCAACAAAATATTAATTTTAGAGAAAAAAATGCTAAAAATTGGTTTTGCAAGATAAAACTTTTTTTATCTTTTCCGGCTAAATTATACAAACATTTAGAACTTAAGAAAAGTATACGGGCGATTGTTTAATTAATTAATCTCAAAGCATGTCTCAGTAATTTAATAGCCAAGAAATATTGCAAAACAATCCTATACAAGAAGATTTTTATGACTTTCAATAAAACAAAAAAGCCTAATATATTTTAAATTAACTTGCACTTTTTACTTTTGAATATTTGCTGATTTTGAAAAACCGATGCATTTAAAAAGCACAAAATTTTAAGAATTGTAATTTAAATCTTTCATTAAATTAAAAAGTACATAATGCATTAAATATAAATCTTCTGCAACTAGAATATTTTCTTTATGTTGATTTAATTAATCAACATAAAAAATATATTTTCCAACATTTTTAATTTTGAGTAAATTACAACAAACGCTGGACCTAGAATATAACCTCTACTGAAATAAGCAAACAACACTTCTAGAAAATTGCCTTTAATAATTGTTTTTACACGTTTTTATACAAATACAAAACAAACATAACTTTACTTAAATTGTTCATTCAAATTTCAATATTTTCAACAATACGATCATATTGATTGATAAACACCACTTTAAAACTTAAAATTATACTATAACCGAAAGGTCTAAAATTTCTACCTTTAGGACTATTTAAAAGTATTGACAAAACCGTTTTTAAGACCTGTTTTTCTCATTTCTTTATACAAAGTAAAGTGCACGTCAGTATTTTATTTATAATTTCACTTCTATTTTTAGAATTTGGAGGAACTAGTTTAACACTAAACCTAGAATATAACAGGCATTTTCAAAGCATTTCTGCTTGTAAAAGCAATATAGAAGAAGTCGCTTTTAGGAATTATTTTTATACATTTTCGTATAACGTAATCACGCAAAAATAATTTAATTTTACTTCCACATTCAAATTTCCATGGATATGAAAAAAATCATAAGAACTATAAGAACCATCTCAGTTAAAATTTTAAATATTATTCAATAGTACAAATTATTTAAACTATATGGTTACTACTTTAAATAAAAAATCTAGACAATATTTGAAGATGACAAAATTAAATTCATTAACGGCAAAAAATCGTATTTTTGAGATATACATACAAATTGTAGATATTAAATGAATCTTCTTTCACTACGTTGGATTAGAAACGTATTTTGTGTATTTTATAACCGTTTTCTTTCTTAGTTAGAACAAAATTGTTCGTGAATTAATTTTATAACGTCCAATTTTTAATATGAAGTGAGCATCATTTTATACATTTTGCATAAGTGAGCATCATTCCACGTCACAATCAAATTTGAACTTTTTTGTCTCAACGTCATTTCGGAACAGATTCATGCCACGAGATAAACAAAGAAAGAAACAAAAACACTGACGAATCATTTATAACGGCAAAAATAATTTCCGTTATATATATTCATTTAAAGCGTGGAAATACTTTTTTTTAAATCTGTAACTGCCGGTTGAATAACGGATCAAAATATAAATTTTCGTTCAATATATAATTGTTATCTATATTAGAATGATTAGCTTTCAAGATTGTAATAATATGATTAAAAAAACTAATTGTGAACAGGACAAATAGAAACACTCTTTTCCTTCGTCAAATGCTTACGAATATTTGATTTTTGTTTTGCTGTATAAGGAAGTGGCCAAATTTGATCTGGTGCTGTACGTTCTCAAGTTTTAATTTCATTGCATTTGAAACCATAAGTTTCGAAACGGTGAATAATATATAAGTTAACAATTAAGTTATGCATGGGTGGTTGATTTCATTCATCGAATACTCAACTGTTAAATTCATTACAAATGAAACGATACGTGTCAATATTGTAAACAGAAATGATTCAAAATAGCTTAATAACAGTTTGTTAAGATTAAATTTACGATGTTAAATTTTTATAATAGTAGTTTTTAAAAGAATATATTTTTTTAAAACTTGGCGAAGGAACGGAGTGTTTTTGTTTTTGCAAATTGCCTTTTTCCTAATAATTCAATTTTCAAATATCATTTTGAAGGCTGACAGCTATTATACAATAATAGGTAACATATAAGCATTAATCCACAATTAACAAGGTTTTGGAGTTTAAGAATTAATTACGAGTAAGTAAGAATTCATCATGAGAAGAGACTCTTAGTTTTCTAGCATATAAAGCAACGATTTAGTTAACTTCGTTTTGATTTTATAAATTCGTACGTCGAAAATTACAATCAGAGATAACGTATACAAACAAAATTCTTAGAATACAAACAATATATGCATTTTAATAATGACATAAGCCAAGGGTTGCTAGTTATGAGAATAACATATGGTATAATTAAAAAATATGTGATTGAATTAAAACAAAGCTAAAAACACTCTGTTCTTAATAGAAAGTCCAATTTTATATTTATTATTTATTCCTTTTTTTTAAATAACAACAAACGATATCTACTTATAGCTATATGAAATATCATGATATTTTGAATGTAAACGCACAACTCAAATGAAATGACCCGGATAATGATCGTTTTGGACTGAAATCAACCAAGACAAAGATGATACATTGGTGATTTCTCAAATAATACGTATGTGAGTCATGCTTTGGTTCAATCGAGCCCTCAAAACACCAACCACGTGCATAATTAAACTAGGCTCACTGTCTTTGCAAGCTCTTTTGATGTACCTAATGAAATTATTGCCATATTAGATATATTTTTCAATGCAGTATTACAGACAACTTAGCCTGATGAAATTTGTCTATTTGGTTTCATTTTGTAAAAGCATTATTCAGTAGTCTAAGAGGAGGTAGGTTAGATCTTACAAGTATTATTTACCAATCTGGACAGTTTAGTTGGTGTGAAAACGTATGTTTACATTGTTTTTCGACACACTTTTGCACAGACGAATGGAAGATCGCATATTTAGCAATATTATTGGTTTATCGCATTGGAAACATATTGAAGCATGTTGTCGTAGATATTGTAACTGTCGATTTGCAGTATTATAGCGTTATTTAACAATAGTTTGGGACGGGAAGATAGGGATATATATATATATATATATATATATATATATATAAAATTGACAAGTCATAACACAAAAGTGCACTTAAAAGGCCAATACGTACCATGAATAAGTGATGACGATGATCCTTTAATCGGGTCAGAAGGAATCCGTTTTGAGATTGGCGCCCGAGAGGAGGACGAAATTGTATAATCAACCGTTCGTTTGACGAGAGCCGTCGGCGGATTTGTTGACGACGAAACGTTTTCGACAAGACACAAGAACCGACTAGAGCCAGGAGGCGGCCCCCCTCGATTTCGCGGCGGCTCGGCCATTTCCGCCCCAGTTCGGCGTCACCCCCGAAACTCGGGACTTCATTACACCCCCGGCCCCACCGCCCCCGACGGCACCCCAGTCGTCCTCGGCCGCCCGCTCTTACCCCCCGCCGGACCCTTTTGCTACCCCGATTATGAAATACTCCGATTGATTTCAATCCTGCTTCGTGGAATTAACAAGTTAAATCTACCCCCTTCGTAGCTTCTCCCGGCCGCCCTTTGACGTCTCGAATTACGATCCTTGTTAGGAAATTTATTCGCGGTGAATTGGCACCCAGTACATAAAGCGCGTCATATTTCCTCTTTCAATTTTCAACCACATATTTCTCAAAATGAAAAAAATTTTTAGAAATTTAAACCATGGAACGATAGAAATATATTGTATGTTGGACCCACGATGTAAAAAAAAATTAAAGAATTAACAAAACCTTGAGTTTTGTTAGTGCTTTTGTTCCTAGGAGATTATTCACAACAATTGATAATTTGATTCTATAAAACAATGCGATGAGGCAGTGATCGAGGAAAGCTGAATAATGTTAGATATGACACAATAGGGGTATTCACGATCTTTGTGTTAACCTTGTTAACTCTGTTAGGTCGTCTTAGATCGAGAAAAATGATGACATAAACTTGTAAGAATCGTCTAGTAACATTGCTCGATCTAACAGGGTAGGGCCAATGTTAGATGTTAAGTCGAAAATATACTCAAATTGCTAGCCGTTGGGGCATAGATAACCAACATGGCAGCCATGAATTTAACAGCTGTTCTCTTTTTACACGCATTTTTAATCTTAAATACGCATTAATTAAATCACACCAATACATATCTTTCGTTAATTTCTGTCCTATCCTTATACTCTCATTCATAATAGATCCCCTATCCTATAAAGTTGTAGGTTGTTAGACGTTAGGATATAAGTTAGGTATGTCGGCACGAATTGAAGCGTGTAATTTGTTAGTACTTTTCAAATGAATATTTAGCATTTTGAATAAAAGAGTTGATTAATTCTCCTGTTTTACTAAGTTCTGGCATCTTACAATTTAACACAAAGCAAAAACATAACAAACAACAACAGGAGAACTACAATTCCTAAAGTTAAAGGAAATCAAAGAATCCAAGAAGGAACTTTGGATGATCTCCTCAATTCCTATATGGGTAGATATGGCGGAATTGAAGAAAGAAGAGACCCCCCCATATGTATTCAAAGCTAAATTCCTGGCCCTCAAAGAGGAATAAAACGAACGAACCTTCATTTATACAGACGGTTCGAGGGTCAGTGAGGGGGTCGGCAGCGCAGTATGCTGGGAAAAATACGCTAAAACAATTCCTCTCCCAAAGGCTGCATGTATCTTAACCGCAGAGTTGACCGCCATATCACCCGCGCTGAGCGAAACTGAACACATGGGTGCAACCAATATGTCCTATCCACCGACTCACTCAGTGCGGTCTTAGCCATCCGTAATATCTTCACCATGGACCCACTAATCCTGGCAATATAAGAGAAAATCAGAGAAATACATGAACAAAGAAAAGAGGTAGTTATTGCCTGGATACCGGGTCATGTAGGCATAGAAGGTAATGAAAATGCCGATCAAGCTGCCAAACGAGCAGCGATAATGCCATATGACCCAGAAACTCCCGTGAGCCCAGCGGACGTCAAAAAATATATGAAGAACCTTGGAAAGATTGGCAGAACCGCTGGGACAAAATGACCGACAAATTAAATGAACTAAAACAGTCGGTCAAACCGTGGGCCATGGATACTATAAGCAAACAGAGAGAATAATGTGGACCGGACTGCGAATAGGCCACACTAGACAGACGCATGGTCATCTCTTAGCGAGAAAAAGTCCACGGAGTTGCCCATTGTGCGGCGCACAAATAACTGTTAAGCATTTACTAACCGAATGCGAACTATTGGCGCCGCACAGAACAAAGTGTGGCCTTTCCTCGAGTTTGAAAGAAATTTTACAACACAGCAATGACAAGAGCAAGAAAGTAATCGAATATCTGAAGCAAATAAATGCATATGGTCGTCTTTAATGCTTCTCCACACGAGGTTTCGTTTTCCCTTCCTGAAGCGAGGGTATTTATTGGCGAGAATGTGTGAGTGTATGGGTGGGTAGTGGTTGGAATATCGAGTACACCACAGACCCAACAAACTAAGATATATATCTCTTTGTGTGTTTTGGGTAGAATGAATGTATTTATTTGCGCGAAAGTGAGTGTGTATGGATGGGTTGTGCAGGAATATCGAGTACTCCAGGGACCCACCGATTTAGGTTAGTATTAGGCTATAATATCTTTTAGACTGAATGGGCGGAGGCACTGTTGTAATATTAAATGCGCCAGTGGCTCCGAATTTTTTTTTATTTGTAAATACAGAATGATTGGTTGCTGTTTGAGTGAATGTATTTATTAGTGCGATAGTAGTGTATGCATGGGTGGGTCTATGGTGGAATATCAAGTACCCCATAAACCCACCAACCTAGGTTAATATTTTAGATTAATTGTAATTTTAATTGTACATAATGTATGGATGTATTTATTAGCGTGAACGAGGGCGGGTCCTCAGAGAAATATTGAGTACTCTGAAGCCCGCATGTAGGCTAAGCTAGGGTTGACTGTTAGCGAATGAGATAGTTTCAGAGCCTTTTCACCACGTGTGGCAGGACTAAAAATGTAGAAGTAACGTCCCAGAACACAACCAGAAAGATCGCCAGACTTCCTACAGAAAAGCTAACTTTAAAAAAAAATTAATTAAGTAAATAAATAAAAATAGAAACCTGAGATGGAAGAAATGTGAGGGTCCGGCAATAGCCCAAGCAGCTAGCCTGCCTAGGGGGAAAAAGAAAAAGAAAAAAAAAAAGACTGCTATAGCTTTATTTTTAGTTCTACCAGTCGCCAAGCGCAGCACTGCGGAAAAATTAACGTGTGTGTGTGGTGTTTAGTGACCGTTAATTAATGATTATTTGGAGATCGTGAGATGCGGTCTGGTGTCGCAACATTTTTTTTTATCGTGCCAACGTTTCGGTTTATTGAGATCATGTTAAGGACTAAAAATATTCCGTATGGGTGCGTCATTATTGTGTGTCGTGTTGAGAGTGTCCATTTTTCCAAATCTAAGTCACACCAGACTGCATCTCACAATCTCCAAATGATCATAAGGAAAAATTAACCTTTAACATGCTAAGAAAAGAAGGGGGCGTTCATGATCTTACTGGACATTTCTCTATTCCAGTTAACACAACTAACAAACATCGTGAATACCCCCTAATATTTATCAAACTGCGTTCGATTAAAAAATCACCAGTTGGCCAGTTCTGTAGAATGCAAGTCAAATAACCATTGTCGATATTTAGTATAGTTTATATTTAGACGGAAATAAAATGTATTTATGTAGATTATCGGAATAAGTCGTTTGTAGTTAGTTGTTATGTAAAAATAGTGAAGAGCCATTGTGGCCACACTATTCGCTAACCATTTGAAAAATAAATAACTAGTGCAGTAAATTAAACTCACCAGGATTATCTGGTTAAGAGTAAAACACTATTGAAAAAACACTTATCAAACCGTATTATCAGCTTAAAACAATTAATTACTACAGAGAATACACGTGTTCAAGCACTGTATTTTCTCCCTTTTTCGGTTTATAAAATCTACCTTTTTCTGCCGTGCTACAGACAAGGCCTTTCTGATGTATTAGTGTTAGTTTAGTTAGAGTGCATTAAACTACAACACAATACATTTCAGTGAAACACCAAGCACCCTGACCAACCTGACAAATGAATAGCTGACTAAGCTATTTTAATGTATTATTAATATTATTATTATACAAACATAGTTCATTAAATATATATTTTTTTAATTTAAATGCAATGATCCAATGAAAGCTGATCATAGTCAACACAACTATCCACTTCTTCCAGATCGTCTTCTTATCACAGAGCTTGTCTATTTTCTCGTCAGTTTAGATGTCATTTAAACTCGTTTCGGTTTTCGCCATTCTCCGTAAGGAACTATGTTCATTTCCACACTGAAAATAGCCAGAGCAGAAATGCATTCAACCCGCACTAGTTTTCGTGGTCCTTATTATATCTTTCAATTAATTAAGGTTTTTAGTTGCGATAAGAAAGTCAGTGTCACAAGCGGGATTCGAACCACAATCTTCTGCTAGATATGCCGCTACTCTACCACTTGAGCTATCGTGACTTCGATCCACTCGGACACTTCCCATCTCAACCCCACGAAAAATGGCAAAAAGGAGGGAAAATTCAAAAGATGGGGTTATTGAATTATAACCTGTATTCAGTTCAGACAAATAATCATTGCCCACCGAAACAATAATATACTGACTGTCTGTTCATGCAGCCCAAGCTTCAATGTCTTCTATAAGAGTATCCGATCCCTGTCAATTAACCTGCTACGACGTACAAACCAAAATTACGATCTGTACTGACGACTTCATCAGAGACATTTCGTGCAATCCCCATTCATCAATACCACCGTGTGTATCTCCAAATTATTCACCAAAGAAATCTAGTCCTCTACCAAATTCTTCTACTATCAAAAATGAACCTCCAAGTTTGTCAAGTCAGCAATAAAAAATCAAGCTTTGTCTAGTATATAAGAACTATTTTAAAAACAATGTTTCACACGATTTCTTAAATTAAAAATATCAACCACTGGACATTTCTAATAGCAATGAACATTATTAAAATAATATAATACAAAATAATTACCCTACCAAAATAAATGTCATAAATAAAAAATGTAATTAATTTCCCTTCGTTGGATGGTTTCTCAGTGCAATCAATCAATCAAAGAAACTGCAAATCAACAACTCATAGCTTCGTATAACAGGGCTCTTGAAAATGTCACTTTTCTCATAATTTTTGTTTTGCTTGCCATTCACGACCGTTCCGATAGGCTGAACAGTGCACCTCTACTTCATAAATT